TTTCTTAGTGCAGTAATTAGCGTAACAAGCCAATCAGCTAGACTACGAATACGGTAGAATGGTGGCCATAGATCGCTAACCGGGCGTGACATGGACAGTCATCACAGGATGCTACGGATACATTCGAGTAAAGCAGATAAGAATCCCTAACGGACGCGAATGGAACCAGCCAACCATGCCATTACTCCGTGCCGCATGGCACGTTTGCATTGCGGTACAGCATGCTTGCCCATCCCTACGCAGAAGTGCGTGACATGCGCATGTGCATCCCATTTAAGAATTACGCATGGGGTTGTCATTGAGTAAATAATGTTGGAATAGCATCTGCTCCACCATTCGTCGCACACAAGGATATCATGATACATATATAGCTAAACACCGTTGAAGACAGCAGCATCTGCGTCACCCTTTGTTGGGCCAAGGATACAAATATGGTTAAACACAATTCAATACAACAGTTATGCTATCAAATACATAAAAAATATGACCACAACCGCATGGTTTGTGTACGAATCTCATTTGCATCAGTTCACGTTCATGGCGAATGTGTTTATATTTGGTGCCGTGTCACGTAAGTGCTGCGTATGGTTCGCGGCATAAATCCTTATTCTGGCAGAGCGCAGTCTCTGTGCTACATGCTGCGAATATTACCGTGATAAACGCCGAGGCTTCAATTTGATCCACAATGTGAAATTTCTTGCACCGACTGGACGCCTGACTTCATCCACGGAAAACAAGCCAGCAGTCCATACCAACGGCGGAAAAGCTCAGAGCAGAGGTACCATTGTTATGCTTGGTTCCGAAGTATTTACTGCACATCAAAGTGTTATTAATTTTTATCAAGCTTGGGATAGTGAGCCACACAACTATTTCTCGTCCTATTCGACAGCTTGTGAGACGGTAAAGTTTGTAAAACATCGAGCAACGGGTACCCGAAGCATCAAGATAGACTGCAAGGCTAAAAAGGTCCGCGGTCTAAAAAACCGCCTGAGGGACAAAGTGGCTGGGAGTGGCAAGGGCCTATATATATATATATATATATATATATATATATATATATATATATATATATATATATATATATCCACTGCCGGGTTAGTCACGTGATTACCACGTCTGCACACGGCCCTAAAAGGCCTTGGAATATGAACAAACACACATATGCATTTGAACGTTGCGGTGGGGTGACAATGGTTAAAGCGGCAAGCAAAGCTGGTTGGGGCAGACAACACAGTTGAAAAACCGGGGTCAGTAGTTGTAAGGATAAGTCTAATGTCTTGATGTATTACCGTTACGAATATGTAAGCCGAGCCAGAGCGGCCCATTACAGCTATGTGGGCCAGTTATGACTTTTTGATATTTTTATGCCCATAGATATGAACCACAGGGAATGATCTTGAAAATGCCTTTTGAGTTCCAATCCATACAAACATGGAACTAAGGTCCCTTTCAGACGCATTTTGAACGATTTCTTAACCATGGATCAACAATAGATGGTTGATCAGTGTGTGTGCATAGTCACCTATGTTGTCATAGGCGATAGGGTTGCTGTAATGTATAAGCATTGTGAATTTTATGGTACGCTCATTTTGGCTTGTTGACGCAATTGGTCATTTCAGAATTGTGGCGGCCTTACCTGAAGTTTGAAGTGTTACTGAAACGCTTGATGCTGATACTTGATATTCTAGCTACTTGTGATGCAATATAAAGTTGCAAGTTAACCTTATAATTACGCGTACATGTTTTATTTTGATAGTAGTGAGGACCAGACCGTGTCTTGCAGGATCAGACCGTGTCTTGCTGCGTACGCCAAGTGGCTTTGGTCCGCTGAAATACATTGTTAAGTCAAACGGTCAAATATTCAGCCCTATCAGACTTCTGTCCATACTTCATCAAAAAAGAGGTACCGTGCTGATGAGCATTTAGCTCCATTTGGTAATCAGCCTTGCAAACCAAGAGGGACCAAAGACCAAGGTGAAGATCACACCATACTGGGACCGGAATAATTTTTACATGACCTTGGTTGTTTTTCCATTGTCTACCATCAGCCGATGGTATGTAGAGGGAGAAACAAAACAATGACATCGGTCCTGATAATCAGTTTACCGGCTGGGGGTGAAACTCTACCATTTAACTGCTTAAGGAGACCGGTAATTAATGGTGATTGTCGCCACTGAACGTTAATTTGCACACTTAAAAATTTAAATCGAATCTAAAACTTGTCACTGGCTGCGAGTGGACTACGGAGTGAATCATATAGCCTATGCTAAATGATAACAGACTCTGAAATTGAGCGATAAAACGACCCAGTCCTACGGCCCACCACAGCAAAGCACTTTTGGCGTGCTTTGCTCTCGTGAAAATTGCATTGTGGTTGCATTTTTTGTAAATATCCTTTTGGTGACTACTAATGCCATTAAGTGCTTTGACTACACAAAGCCTCACAATAACATTTGTGTTACATATGTGTGTTGATCAGATGCACCTTCCAATGCTGGTGATAACAAATTATGTTTCACCAGCATAGCACGATTAGAATAGTTTCCTATCATCAGATGTGGCAATATTTACCTTTTGACATGGAACGCCCATAAACAAATTAATAACATCACAAGCCCTTAACTCGAGAGGTGGAATGCCACCATGGGGAAAGTTGGTTCATAAGAGCTACGGCGTAGCCCGAAATGTGGTCCTTCATCGAAAAATCTCAAGAGCTTTGGTTTGCCGTTGATTACGAGGACCAGACCACTCTCGAAATCAATGCTGTTCTGTCATACCATTATTGCATGACAGTTGTAAAATCCCACAGCTCGCACAAAATGCAACAGCATTTATTACAGCCGTGGTAAATTTTGCAGGCAGCATATGTAAAAATTGTGTAATATATTGCTTTTGAAAACTTCATGGAGCTGCAAGACTGCAATAATAAAGTCATTTGAATAGCGTACTGGTCAAGGTAATTCGGGCCGGGCTGAGCTGGGCTGGGTATTCTGTTAATTACATTTTCCGCTGCCAAAAACTACTCCGGTCTGTTAACTTATCCGTGATAATTTTTTTCGCATGCCTTTCTTTGAGCTGAAACATCTGCAGAGTTCCAATTTAGTTGACGTTTGGATGGTGTTGGTGACGATGAGCTCAGTGGCATTTCTCTGCTGCTTAGTTAAAATGGGGAACCTGTTATGTTTCCAATGCATGCATATTGCTACAAAAACATGCATGCAACGCATTTTCTTGCAAGAATAAAATCTTTTCACCAAGCAGCATTAAAGAGAATGCTTACATTCGAATATATTGAAGCAAGCATCAGCCGTGATGAAATAAGCCCACTTATAGCCGTTGGTATACTTTTCAGTGGAAGACTGTAATATACAAAAATCTTTATTTGGCAAATATGCTCGTCAATACGTTACTTTCTGATGAATCGTCATGTGACTATGACACCATCTACTTGTCGTTCTTCAATTTCCCGAGAGATGACAGCACGGGGTGGAAGCGATCGCTGAGCCAAATATTATGTACTCGTGTTGTGGCCCTTTACTTCGTCGTGTTCTTACATATTTATGCGCGAGCTTACGATGTCACTTTCGATTCGTAATCGAATGGAGGGCCTGTACCGTAAGGGCCTGCATCGAATGCAATCGCTTGTAATCGAATTCATTCGACTGCAGGCATTGTTTCCGTAACAACTAGGAAGAATACACCGCTTCTTGCATCATGTAGAACAAGACACCATTTGTGCTGAATTGATCCGATTCTCCCATCCTCTTCCTTGCTACATTCTGCATCCTAGCGACGCCCCGCTTGCCCGGGGCAGGCGGCATGCGTCAGCCACGAGTGAGCCGAGAAACCCCTGGGGGGGGGGGGGGGGGGGGACACCGACCAGGCGCCCGGCGCACACTCCGCAGAGGAGTCCTGGCGCGGGCTGAAGCTTGACTGGCCCCCAGGCGCATATAGTCCCGCTCCCCCTCTCCCCGTTATCCAGTCTCCTTTATCCCGTAGCTCTGAAATGAACATAACTGATCGAAAGGGCTTTCATCGAAATAACCTAACTACAGTGTTGGAATATTGCGTAGCTCGCACAACATTGGTACAAGCCAACTGACGGCTCGACAACTACGTTGCCTCTTGACCTCAAATGCCGCATAGGCAGCGGAATAGTCGGATTTGAATGACATTATTGTGGCGTAATGGATGTCTGTGTAACCTTCAAATAGTCTCAAGATCTTCGCCGCGTGTAGCTAAAAACTAGAGAGGTTTAGGTCTTAAGAAGGGCGGGCCTGTGAACTGCGCCGAATGATCTTCAAGATGTCGATTTCAGTTCACAACCTCATACAAATGTGGGCACTCCTATTAATACATAATTTGTCCGTGCTGAAGTCCACAATGCCTGCTGAGTTCAAACATGCGTGTCTGAAATAGTTCCGCCCGCCGTACCTGGCATGCCACCCAGAGCACCGGCATAATGCCTTTGCCTGTTCATATCCTCGGGCTATTAAGTGCCGGGTGCAGACGTTGTAACCACGTGGCCTTCCCGCCGGCTGGGAGGTCGTATTGGCAAGGCGATGGCAACATGCGGCTGGCCTGTCCCGCCGCGGGGTGTCAGTAGCAGTTTTATATCGATATTGCAGACGTCCGAAAAATGCAGTCACTGAATGATGCATTAAGCGGACGCTGCCAATCATGCGCTTCCAATGCATGTTGAATTAAAGTCCGATTCACAGTTTAAGGCACGCTGGAGGCCGAAATGTACCAGACCAGAATCATGGCTATTTCAGCTGCAGCCTATTTATGCAAGTACGTATGACTCGCACAAAGTGACCAATCACTTGCCCGAGTGCCTTTATTTTGCACCTTTAAAGTTGCGATGACGGCTAGCAAGGCTATTTAATTGTCATATGTTAGTATTATCGTAAGTCCTTTCTTGGCACCGGTGGTTTGTCTCTCTCCCCCGGTTAGCACGTCACGGTGAGGCCCTGCGTTGGCAGCAGCGCCACACTCACCTTCTGTTCAGCCTGCTCCTTGGCCGACGGCTTCTGACGGCCCTTCGGGACCGCGCCCGGGGCCGGCTTCACTTCGGCTTCTTTCCGTCGCGCGTCGCCTCCGCTGCGACGCCCGACCGTCGCACGGGCGATCCTGCTGCCGCCCGGCGGCGACATGCAGCCCCGCTGTCCCGGCCGCGCCGCGCGGCCCGCCTCCGCTGCCGGCCGCCGGCACTGCGCCCCCGAGCACCGCCCGGGGCACTGAGGGCCGCCGGGCTTCCAGCGCGCTCGGCCGGCTCCAGCGGCTCTAACCGGGCCGGCCGCGAGGTCCTCAAACAGCTGGTTTGGCAGGGCGCGGAGACGGCCAGCTGCGGTCCGGTTTGAGAGCCCTGCCCGGGTGTTGCCGGAGGCATGAGGCGTCCGGACTCCCCGTGGCAGCTGCAGCCGGGCTTGGACCGACGCCCACTCGCCACACGGGAGCGGCCGCACTGAGGCGCGGTTGCATATCCTGGGGCACTCGACGCGTGCATGAAGGCTAATGACGGACGTAGGAATGTCTTCAAAAGTCAGTGGACCAAGGCGTGGGTAGTTACCCTTCCCGGTATCCCGGTGCTATTCACTTCCAAATGGTTGATGTCAGGGTCTCACGGAAAGAAGAGAGTCTACGTTCACTTAGTTGTCCTCCTGTTTGTTGCCATCACCTAAATCGCAGGAACGCTACGCCTTGCGCATGGTAATATCTTTTCATGTATCTTGCACTTGTACCAACTTGATATAATCATGGGCGATTGGGAGAGCGCCGGTGAGTGTGTGGGAGAGGAGAGTTGCAGGAGAGCGGCAGTGAGTGTGTGGAAGAGGAGAGTGTGCAGGAGAGCGGCAGTGAGCGTGTGGGAGAGGAGATTTGCAGGGGAGCGACAGTGAGCGTTAGGGAGAGGGGAGTGTGCAGGAGAGCGGTAGTGAGTGTGTGGGAGAGGAGAGTGTGCAGGAGAACGGCAGTGACTGTGTGGGAGAGGAGAGTGTGAAGGAGAGCGGTAGAGACTGTGTGGGGGAGGAGAGTGTGCAGGAGAGCGGTAGTGACTGTGTGGGAGAGGAGAGTGTGCAGGAGAGCGGCAGTGACTGTATTTGAAAGGAGGGTGTGCAGGAGAGCGGCAGTGAGTGTGTGGGAGAGGAGAGTGTGCAGGAGAGCGGCAGTGAGTGTGTGAGAGAGGAGAGTATGCAGGAGAGCGGCAGAAGATGTGGAACTCGAGACAGATCAGCAAAGGATGCGAGATAGGTGAACCAGGGACCCACGTCACCTTAGCTTCTGGGCCCGAGAACCTTATGCTTCCTCACAATGCGTGACGCCCTCCTTCGTCTACCACAAGAAGAGGAAGCAGCATGCACCAGGAGCGAATACAAAGAGGGCATCGGCCAGTGGGTAACGCACCCCCCCCCCCCTCAGATGTGAAAGAAGGCGGCCCTAAAACACGTCGGTAAACAACACGGCTGTTATAGTGGGCAGCATCGTAACGAACTTAAGCGCCGTCTAATCATTCAGAACACAACAATTGAGATGAACTTTTCATCTACAATAGAGAAACTGTTTGTCAGATTGATGGTCAGTTACGAAAATTCCCAATTGGATTATGAGATTACCGTAGGACAAAAAGTGAAATAAGACAAACTTCTACTGCCAAACGGCAAAAATGACGCTTGCTTTTGGTGTGGTTTTAACAGAGGCAGTGCGTTCTTACAAGCGATATATACGGTTTTGGTGAGGCACATGTACAGGATGGTTGCCATGTATATGCGTTTGAAATATAAACGCCAATGTGCGGGTGGAAGCTGCATCCAAAATAAGATTTCCTTCGCCAGGAACCGGGTGGATTTGTCCCTTTTGCCACCATGTGTGGACATACGCCTTGAATTCGTCATAACCAACGACGCCGACGTCGGACGTGATAGTACAGTCCCGAGCACATCATGCTCTCCACACACGGGTATCGTCTGTCTACACCAAAGATCTGAGATAAAATGTACTCGTTTAGACGACCAGAGTACGGTTATAGCTATTTCTATAACGCTGCCGTACATAACGACCACGCGGCCACAAACAGCTCGTATCGAATAATATACTGTTTCGATTATACGATTAATTAGTACGATCTATACCATAAATTAGGTATAATATACGATTTCGATTCATGTGATTTAATTAAAGGGATGTTTTCACCTAAAAAGATATCCATCCTAACAGTTTTTTTAACGATGCCACATAATTGCAACACGTGACGTCAAGAAATCGGAATTGAATCATAAGGTATGAGGGTGTAATGTAAGGCTGATTTGACGCAGGCAGCCGAGCCCGATCTCGGGCATCGTCCCAGAATACTTAAGAACTGCAATCAAACTCTCGACTCGCATGAACCCATCACGTCACACGGGCATCCGATCATGAGTATGTGCCAGTGCTCGAAGGGCACCTAAACATCTGCTGCGGAATACAGTATATTAAAAGTCATGACAACCAGGCTATTAATGTATGTAGATCACTGCGTGGGAGGATGCGGCAGAGGACCCAACGAGTGAACCTTCGCCAAATTCTTGACTCATATCTCATAAAACATTCAGCCAGTTTATCTTGGCAAGTAGCAAGTTGCATGTATGATTGTTGCATCCTCTATGACACCACATATCATTTTGTGCACTATTTCGCCTCGCTCCGTCGTTTCGACTCCACATAGTCCGATGTTAGACTCAGACTCGTATTGTCTTTACTCAAAGCGAGTCAGCCATTCTCTGCAGGCGTCCCCAGTCCAGACTCCTGTCGCTCGCGCCGACCGCGCCCGCCTGACGTCACCGTCCGTGTGGCGCCGCAGGCTATGCCCGTGTGACCCCGGCCGGGCCAACCGCCACGGCCCACCACAAGCCGCCCTGTTAGGCGTAGGGCGTACGGGACAGCACATTACACTTTGAAAGCGGAGTACTCATTTTACAAATGCAAGTTTCGGGGCATAATGTTCGGAAAAACTGCGTCGGAAAGCTAAATGCACACATTCTCATGAAAATGTGTCAATATAACATTTAAGGTCAGATAGGTCCATGCAGTAATCTAGTTTGACCTTTGACCTCTTTTAAAAAAGATGAGGACCAGATTTTCTTTAAACCCATGTGAAATTTTGGACCAATTCACCGCATTCACATTGAAACAAGAATTTCATGGTATCTCTTCCAGAACGGCTACAAGTCAAATTTGAACATTTGTGCGTCACACACGGCGACATGCCATGAACCGACCGGCTGGTGTCGTGTAACCGGGTGCCATTGGCTCACGTCGTCGGAACCGTGACCGTGACCTTGAAACCATTTGCTTAAATTTCGACCAGTCATTTTGACATTCCTCTGGAACTCCAGACAGTGTTTGAATGACGAGTGTGTATTAATCAATCTTACGCACCTGTCGTCCCTCACAAGTCGCGTAGGTGGCAACACCGTACGCTCCAAGTCCTTGCAATGCATCGATGACCATTATCTAAAGTTGAGCCGAAGCCGAACCTGAAAAGAAACAAACATCTCGTCTGAAATTGCCTCATTGTTTTCTTGTCTGGCTCTGAGTCGGAGCAAGGTCGGCCGCAGCGTGCTTAAGTCAGAGCGTGTTGGTCCAGCATGTCTGCGACCGAACATATGACATTCGATACGGTACGCATGCGCATCTAACTCGATACGCATCCAACTCGATACGCATCTAACTCGATGCCGGCTCCGAGTAAACCAGACCGGGGCACCAGAGAGGGTCAGTGAGTGCAGAGCCTAATTGCTGGGAGGTCAGAGGAATGAAGACCTGAGGTCCCGCTGCTTTTGGCAAGCACTTGCAGGGAAAATTAAACAAAAAGAATGGGCTGAAATTAATCGAAGCACATTGTATAGCCATGCGAACGTTCAGACATGGGGAGGGCAGTGCTAATTGGAAAGCCATGGGGAGGGGGTTTGGCCCCTGCGCCTCCCCCGTCACTACACCCACGCCGTCACCCGACCCACAGCGTCCTCGCCTCGTAACAGCCCAGCAGCCGTCGTTCGCGAAATACGTCTGGGAAGATCTGTGGACAACGTTATCACGGCGTGGCGCGGCGCGTGACGGTACGTCGGACTCGAGGGTGAAATTGGCAGGGTGTAAGTGGAACTCACTGAACTTCTGCCTGTCTCAGAAAGTGGGAGAACCTCTGACGTCTCGAGCGTAGATGGCTATTCCCAGAGCGATGACCGTCTGAGCCGCTTCCATCGTGTGCGTCTGGGTGGCAAAATTTATCGGGCGATCGAATGCACGGCATGCCTCACAGTTTATGCAGATCTCACACCAGCCGCCTATGATGTGAGTGTAGGACGGTCCACCTGGACGACTCATTGAACCCGCACAGTTGCTTCAAGGCTAGCAGCCAGATCCACATAACAGCTGTATTCAAGAGAGAAATGTCAGAGAAGGTGGCTCCATATGGTTTGCTGTCGAAGCCGTTAGCGGCAACGGTATGCGGGTGTCGACATTTCAGACTCGCACTGACAGAGTCGCATAAGGTAATAATGTGACAATACAGCTTTTGTTAGGACAAGGCTATGCACAGTAGCCGCCAAATTAAACTGATCATCCGCAACGGGCTTCTATGAGAGATTTCCTGCCCCGGGCGGAGGCAGCATTCTGATGGGCTTGACAGAACATAAGCGAGGCCCTTTCGAAACCGATTTCTCAAGGAACATCGGTTATTTTGTGGCGGGATTTTCGAACAAGAAGCCAACAGCCTTTAGGTTGATTTTCTAGCACTGTTCAGCAGCGTTTTGCCAAATCATGCAGCCAGAAAGAAGCAGTCTAGCCACGTTTCCGGCGAACCAGTGCTGTGCGCTATCCGGTCAAGTGCGGCCGCCAGGTGGCGGTGGCGACTACAGCTAGGTGGGATTAGGAGCCAGTCGCCTCCCACGTCAACTGCGGCCAGTCTCCTGGTACCGATTTGGATATGGCCGTGTCTGGCGTCCGGTGTGCCTTTTAGACGCTGTCAAAATGTTTTATGAGCGTAAGGCATGGCATCAAAAATCTTAACGCCCGTGAATCTTTGAATGGGCCGAATGGGAGATTATGCACTCCACTGGTAAATTTACCTTACATCACATTTCATAAATAAATTGATAAGCTTTGCAAGATGCGTATACAA